GAAATTTAACCTACTCACATATGCCAAATTTCTTCATTATCAAGCCTTTGATATTAATTGTTGACTTATTTCCTTCTACCGCAATTGTATCAGCTAAGATATAAACATTTTTAAGCTTTATTCCATTTTCAATAAATAAAAACAAAAGAAATATATGGAGAATGCTACAGAAATAGTGTGATTCAAGTCCATGAACCTCGGAATGCCTAACAGTCTACATCAACATGTCTAGTCAGAAAATATGGTTTAGATTTGGGCTTTTTGTGTGTTTTTTGCAATCATCTTACTGCTTTCATTAGATGATCTTAGTCTGTGAAAGGATGTCTATAAAAAAATCAACACAGTCTTGGGAATCTGATTGCCATATGTATCAAATAAAAATAGATGCCCATTTCAATTTGGATTTCAGAAAAACCATGAATACCTTTTTAGTATCAGGTGTCCCAAATATCACATGATTTTTTATTATAAATATATCCCAAATATTAGATGCACAGTAAATAATTTTCACCATCAATGGTTCCCAAATGTTACATGAATTTTTCAAAGATAGCTTAAGTATTATATGCGATATACTTATGCTAAAAAATAATTCATAGTTTATTTTAAAGTAAAATTTTTCTGAGTGTTTTATGTTTTATTTGGCAACTCTACTTGGAAGGCATCATGGTAGTGTAAGTGAATACACCTGGTTCTGATACTTAAGTAACTGAATAACCTTGGGCGTCTCACTTAACCTACCTGAACCTAAGTTTCAACATCTGTAGAATGAGAAGAAATAATAACTACTTTGCACATTTTCTATAAAGATTAGAAATTATTTACTTAAAACACCTGGCACATGATTTCATGAAAATGTAGCTGTTATTATCAGGACAAAGAAGAAACATAAATGGAAGTTAGTAGTTTTTGTTTTTTTTAGCTTCATAATTGGCACCACTCATCAGTTAAATGGCCCATTTAATTAATAAGTAGAAGAGTCCGCCACATGATGTTGGTGACTATTTACCAATCAGAGATTTGACCAGTAATAAAATACTGGGTTGGCCAAAAAGTTTGTTGTTGTTGTTGTTGTTGTTTGTTTTTAGTAAGATGGCTGTAGTAACGCTTAGTTATCTTTAATTTCATTCAAAACAATTCTGTTAGATTGTATTGTGATAGCTGTCATACCAGCATGCACTTAAAAAAACTTATCAAAATTGGTGAATTTTTGTGTAGGCATTTTAATATTGAAATGGAAGAAAATATGCAACATTTTTGGCATATGATGCTTTATTATTTCAAGAAAGGTAAAAATTAACTCAAACACAAAAAAAGATTTGTGTGGTGTGTGGAGCAGGTGCTGTAACTGATCAAATGTGTCAAAAGCAGTTTACAAAGTTTCATGCTGGAGATTTCTCACTGAACAATGCTCCACGGTTACATAGACCAGTTGAAATTGATAGTGATCATATCAAGACATTATCGAGGACAGTCAGTGTTATACCACACAGGAGATAGACAACATACTCAAAATATCCAAATCAATTAAGTTATTGCTGAAAATGAAAAATACATCTTTTATGGAAGAAAACTAAACAAACTTTTTGGCTAGCCCAATATATACAAACGTTAACCTCCCTCCTTTTTCCTATAACTTGTTATGTTACTTACCAAATGTCATATAACTTGTTAGCATCAGAGCCTGAATATATGTTGCCTTCACATTATCTTTTTTTTTGCTAAGTCACAATTTTATTTCAATCCTACCCATCCCAAACATCATTTTTAAATTTTTATTAATGTTATTGAGATATAATTTATATATAGCATTCACCATTTTAAAGTATACAAATCAGTAGTTTTTATTATATTCACAAGGTTGTACAACCAAGGCCAGTATCTAATTCCAGAACATTTTCATCAGCTCCCAGAAGAACCCATACTCATTACCAGTTACTCCCCGTTCCCCCTTTTCCCATCCTCTGGCAACCACTAATCTACTTTTTGACTTTAAGGGTTTGTCTATTCTGGATATTACATATAAGTGAAATCATAACATATGTGGCCTTTTGTGTCTGACTTCTTTCACTTAGCATAATATATTAAGGTTCATCCATGTTGCATCATGTGTGAATGCTTCATTCTTTTTATGCTTGAATAATATCCCATTATATGGCCATATAGCACATTTTCCTTATCCATTTATTAGATGATGGACACTTGGGTTGTTTCCACTTACTGGATATTAAGAATAATGCTGCTATGAACATTCTTGTACAAGTTTTTGTATGAACATTTTTTCCCCTTGGGTCTGTATCTCAGAGTGGAATTGCTGGGTCATATTGCAACTCTTTGTTTAACATTTTAAGCAACTGTTTTCCAAAATTACTCACCATTTTACATTCACCAGTAACACAGAGAGTTCCAGTTTCTCCACATCCTCACTTGTTATTATCTGCTTTATATTATTATTATAGCAATTCAAGTGGGTGTGAACTGGTTCCTTACTGAGATTTTGATTTGCAGTTCCGTAGTTACTAATGATGTCAAACATCTTTTCATGTAGTTATTAGCTATGTATATAGGACGTGGGACACAAAACCAAAATTATCATCTGGAGGGCAGGCGCCTTGTAGTACAGGCTTCCCCTGCTAGGTGAGTGTTCTAGGAACCCATCTGTATCAGTGTACCAGATGGTGGTGTTGTGAGAGGCTATGTTAGGCTTCAGTGAATTTTTTTTTAAGACTCTTTCAACACTTTTGCCCATTTTATGATGGGTGATTTATGTGCGCACCTGCCCCCACTGTGCTGAGTGTTCAGCAGTTTTTGACCAAAAATGTCATGACCCCCATGCCCCATCCTCCCTCTTCACTCGATCTCACCCTGAGAGACTATTTTTGTTTCCCTGGATGAAAAAGTTCTCAAAGGCAAATGCCTTGCCAATGTGGAAGAGGTAAAACAAAAGAATGGCAGAAGCACTAAAAGGCATCAAAATCAACAAGTTCAAAAACTGTTTTCAGCAGTGGGAAAAATATCTTGATAAGGTGTATTGATTTCATCAAGTCAATACACCTTATCAAGAGTGTATTGGAGTACTTTGAAGGTGACTGAAGTTTAAACATGTAAGAATTAATACACAATTTTTTATAAATAAAATCTGGGTGCTTTTGGGTCCCCTCTTGTATTTTCTTTGGAGAAAGATCAATTCAAATCCTTTGCCTATTTTTAATTAGGTTGTTGAATTTTTGAATTGGAAGAGTTTTTATATATTGTCATCAGAAAAAAACTGATTAGCAAATATTTTCTCCCATTCTGTGGGTTATCGCTTCACTTTCTTGACAGTGTCCTTTGATGGATAAAAGTTTTTAGTTTTGATGATGTCTTATTTATGTATTTTTTTCTTGGTTACTTACAGTTTTGTTATCATATCACATTATCTTTTCTTCCTTGAAGAATAAAACAAGCACTAAAACAGGAGTAGAGACAGAAGCTCTGTTCCCACATTCACAATTAATAAATGTGTGAGCTTAAGCAAATATTAAACTCATTGGGAACTCAGGTTCCACATCTGTGAAAAAAATCTGGGTTCAGCACAGCAGGCACTTCATAATTTTTTTATGAATATACTACCTCTCTGAAACTCCTTAGGTTAGTAGTTCTCAACCTGGGTTACATTTGGCAATCTCTGGAGACACTTTCGGTTGTCACAACTGGGAAAGGTTGATACTGGTATCTAGTGAGTAGAGGTCAGGGGTGCTGGTAAACATGTTACAGTTTACAGGATGGCTCCTACAACAAAGAATTATCCAGACTAAAATGATAGTAGTGCTTAGATTGCGAAAACCTGCTCTGAATTCTATTTCTATTATTCTGGTTTATTTTAAGTGGTAGTTTTTAAGTTTGTCTACTGGAACCAGATCTTTTTGTGCTCTTAACCTAGTACTGGAGGTACCAGCCTGACGGGGGCAGTAGAAGGGAGAGGTACCAATAATTCTTGAGACTATTAGTCAAGAGATTTCTTTGAAAATGTTTTTAGGGCCTTTAAAAACTATTGTGTCTTCTAATTTGGAGAAAAAATACTTCGTTATAGACACCCCCAGGAAAAATCTTGTAGATGTGTTCATGTTATTGAGTCCTTTTCTTCAGGGTTTCTGGAAGAAAATATTTTTTGTGAAATACTTGGTACATGTTGTGAAATGTACCTAATCAATCATAATGGGAAAAAAGAAACAGAACAGCTTGATGGAAGAAACCTTCATTAGTGAGTTCTGTGACATCAAAGGAAGTTAATATTATTATTCTAGCTGATCAGTTTACTTCAACTTTATCCCATACCATCTACTTGAATGTACTGATTTACTTGAGTTCCATAAATAATCTATTTAAGATAAAATATACAATAGACTGAAATATGTTTCAGCATTTCTAAAGATCTTGGCATGTAAAAAGCTATTAAACTTGAAGATATATCTTCTCTGTGATAATATGGCTTATTATTTCATGCCTTTCACCATTAGATGTAATTGTTACCACCACAAGCACTACCATTGTAGACTAGCATTTTATCAAGGTATCCCATTTTTCCTCATAAAAATCTTATGGGGTAGTTTTTTTATCCCCACTTTTCAGATAAAGCCAAAAGTTATAATGGAACTATAAAATACTTGCTAAGCCATAGTTCCATATTAAAACTTTTCTCGTATATCCAAACTGCTTCCTATTTCAACAACAAAGAAAATCTATTTATTGTTAAATCTGTATACATTCATATCCCTAATTTTATGGCCCTTCATAATGCTGATTAAACCCTGAGTTATTTCTAAATGTTTTCAATGCCTTAGAATTACTGTTGTTTTTTTTTCTAAAAATTATATGTATGTACCTTGAATCTGGTATAAGATTTCTTTTTGTCTCTGAGCACCCACATGCATGTGTGGATATGTAATATTAAAATTGTACAAGTTCTCCAATATATAAGTAATGGTAGGATTTCTGTTTAACTTTTTTTCTATGTACAGGAAGCAGTAAAAGAAAACAATAAGAGAAAAGAAATGGAAGAGAAGACTAGGAGGGCAAAGGTTGCAAAAGAGAAAGCCGAACAAGAAAAGTTGGAACGTCAGAAGAAAAAGAAACAGCTCATTGATATAAACAAAGGTATGAAGTACTTCCATTTTTTCAAATGGTCTATAAACTGCAAAATAATTGCACTCGATTAATTTTGGATTATGAAGTGAATTGTGGTTTTGGTAGAAAAAAATCACAGTGTTATTAGTTGCTTGTGTCAAATTTCTCTCATCAAATTACATGTATTTCTTGTCACCCTACACTGAGCACTCAGGATTTTCGGTAATCAATTGAAGGTAATATGTTTGTGAAAGAGTCTTTTTCTCTCTGTTTTTTTTTTTTCTTACCAAATTCTATTATGTTCTGGATGAGGCACTGGTGAAGGAATAAGAGGGCAAGTTGAACAGAGAAAAACTGATATGGGGAGATGAGCATTATAGCTGTAATTTTAATTTTGTTGACAAAGAGCAGCAACAATTAACACTTTTCCTTAGGGGCTTGAACATTTCAAGCCATAATGGATATTGACAGCACTATTTTATACATTTGAAAAAAATTAGGAAAAGCATCCTGCTCAGCTGTGAGCCTAGGAACAAAATGTTGGTATGTCTGTGTAGTATAAAGTAGTTGTTTTCTTGGTTAGCAAGAATGACTGTGGATTAAAGGTAGGTATTTTTTAATTTGTTTCTTTTCTTTATAAAGAAGATAGCATAAATAAAGTGATTGGCACCAGATAGCTACAGCTGAATATTTAAGAATGAAAAAGCATAGCCTTTGCTACTGAGGGTTACAGAATTTAAAAATGAAAAAAAAAGTCAGAACAAGATAGAAAATAATATGATCAATATGGCCCAATGTAATGATAGTCAAAGTTGTAAGCACTGTATAATCTTGAACATGTGCCATGTACTGTTCTAAGACTGTCACATGTTTTAAGTAATCCTCATAACATCTCTGTGAGGTAGTTTTTTATTATTGTCTCATTTTACAGATGAGGAAACTGAGGCTCATAGAAAGCAAGGAACTTGCCCAAAGCAAATAGAAAGTATTAGCACCAAGATTAGAATTCAAGTAGTCTGGCTATGGAATCTTTGCACTAATAAATGCATTATCAAATAACGAAAACATGCCCCGGCTGGTATGGCACAGTGGATTGAGTGCCAGCCTGCGAACCAAAGGGACATGGCTTGATTACCAGTCACAGCACATGCCTGGGTTGCGGGCCAGGTCCCCAGTAGGGTGAGTGTGAGAGAAAACCACACATGGATGTTTTTCTCCCTCCCTTCCTCTCTCTCTAAAAATAAATAAGTAACATATTTTTTTTAAGCAGCCCTGCCTGGTGTGGGTCAATGGACTGAGTGCTGACCTGTGAGCCAAAGGGTCACCAGTTTGATTCCCATTCAGGGCACATGCCTGTGAGGTAGGCCAGGTCCCAGTAGGGGGCGCACAAGAGACAACCATGCATTGATGTTCCTCTCCCTCTGTCCTTCTCATCCCCTCTCTCTAAAAACTAAAGAAATAAAATATTTTTTAAAAAAGCAAAAAATCATGTAGCACTTACTGTGTACCAGGAACTTGACTGGGAGATTAACATATATGAACATATTTAAGTCTCATCAAATCCTATTAGGAAAGTGCTACTCACTCATTTCAAGATGAGGCAACTAGACACAGACTAAATTGCTCAAGTTCACAAAGACAGTAAGAGGTAGAACTAAGATCTGAACCTAGGCAGTCCATGGCCCAAGGTAATTAGTAATAATTATAATGCATTTTTATAATTATTACTCATAATTATTAACCAGTATCAATCATCCATAGTAATGTCTCTAAATGGTTAATCTGAAGTAATATCTATTCCTATTAAGCTATCCTTCACTCCTTTAAAATATGCAAAATCCCTGGCTGGTATACCTCACTTGGTTGGAACGTCATCTGCACACCGAAAGGTCACAGGTTCAAGTTCTGGTCAGGGCACATGCCTAGGTTGTGTGTTGGGTCCTCTGTCAGGGCATGTATGAGAGGCAACTGACTGATGTTTCTCTTTCACATCAGTGTTTTTCTCCCTCTCTCATCCTCCCTTCTCATATATAAGTGTGTCCTTGAGTAAGGACAAAACAAATTAAAATAAAAATACAAAAATTTTCAGAAATTGAAAATAGTCTTTTTTACCCATAAAACAAATATAACATAATTTAATTTTAAAAGAAGTAAAAAAGTAAACCAATGAGTTAAAATATAGCATAAACATAATTTAACAAACAATTTCATAATTAGGCTCACTAAAACTGGTCCTGACTAAAGACCACTCAATTAAGAAAAGCATTAGAGCACAGCCTGGCAATGGGTATTTATAGGGAGTTCTCCCTTAAAAAGTGATAAAGTTCACTGAATAGCGCTGAAAGTTAGCCCCCTTATGTGCTTGGAGGAATAGTGAGAGAAAAGCCTGGAAGAGGTAGGGGACAAATTGTTCATTCTCTAGGCTATGCTAAGAGTCTTACCCTGAAAGCTATGGAAAGACTATGAATATTATAAACTGGAAAGTGATGTGCTCAGATAAGTTTCATTTGGACAGAAGTGTAGAGAATGGATTGGAAGGGGAAAGTGCCGAGATAACAAAGTTTATGAAGTTATTATTATAGTCCTGTTAAGAGATGATGGTGTCCTGAATTAATCAATGGTAGTGAGGTTAGAGAAATCACAAATTAGAGGTGTATTAAAGTTCTATAGGATATGTAAATGTAGAGACAGATTTATTTTAAGAAGTTGGCTTATGTGATTATAAAAGGTGGCAAGTCCAGAATGTGCAGGGTAGGATGACAGACTGTAGACCCAGGGAAGAACCAGTGTTGCAGTTCAAGTCTGAAGGCAGTTTGCTGACAGAATTCCCTCTGGATCAGGGGAGGCCAGTCCTTTGTTCTGCTCAGGCCTTCATCTGATTGGATGAGGCCCGCCTACATTATGGAGGGCAATCTGCTTTACCTAAAGTCCACTGGTTTTAAATGTTAATCTCATCCAAAAAATACCCTCACAGAATCATCCAAAATAACATTTAAACAAATATCTGGACACCATGTCCCAGCCAGTTTGACCCTGAGGATTAATTAGATATGGAAATCAAGAAAAGGAGGTATTAAAGAAAGTAGTACCCTTCACAAAATAGTGTAAGTTTTCATGTAAAAGGCTAAGTACAGTCTCTGGGCATATCGGTAGAACTGGACACTGAAGGATGGGTAATAGTTGGATAGACAGAGGCAAAAGTTGTCAAGTAAAAGAAAACATCAGCAATAGTGTGTGTCAGTATGTAAGGTAGCAGGCCTTATGTAAGATATGTTTAATGGCCTACAAGAAAGTAGATCATAATGACTAAGAGGATAGATCTTAAGTTCAAGTCCCAGATCCATTACTGACTAGCCACATAATCTCTAATAAGGTATTTCATTACTCTTGCCTCAATTTCCTCATCTATAAAATGGAATAATGGGACCTTCCTTGTTATTGTGAACACTAAATGAAATAACCCACAGAGACTCGTGTTATTCGTATTTTATTCTATCAATTATATGCCAGCGTCTTTGGTCTCTGATAAATAGTTTGTTATTCAGTAAATATTTTCTGACATTGTCATTGTCCTCATTGTTATCCATTGGCATGGAAGGCTTTGAATTGGAAAACTGTTGGAAAGGTGGGAAGACTGTTGGAAAGACAGTGAAGAGCCTTCCAAGTCAGACAGGGGAGCTGTGTTGTGATGAGGTTGGAGAGCCAAAGTGACTGTAGAAATTTGTTCAGGGATTCCCAAGGTAGTGAACTAGAAGTATAAGAAAAGATAGCTGAGTATAGGGTAAATGTATCTGGAAAAGGACAGTGAAAGGTGAGGGGGAAAAAAGAATTAGTTCATACCTTATTCTTTCATACCTTATTCTTTCCTTCCTTTCAGGAAGGAAAATTTTTATAAAAGTGATCGAGAAAAAGGCAGTGAGAGTTGCAAGCAACCAATTAACTAATGGTCAAGGCTTTAAATTTTTTTTAAGAACAGCACATTTTACCAATGTATAATTATGCATTGATGTTTTTTGACATATTAGGTTATTTCATTCATTCAACTAACATTTATTGCACCATTTCCCAAATAACTCTAATGAAAGCATGCACACAGTAATACACTATTTATGTAAATGCAAAATTGAGAAAGCTAATTTAAATGCAGCAAAAATATGCTAAATCAATAAATGTACTCTAAAACGTGTAATAATATATAAACTATGTAAAGTATTTGGTATATTCTATGTTCTCCAACCTTTTATTATATTATATAAATGATAACTTAGGGAACACTAAAAAGAAAATAATTAATTTTGTAGGTAGAGTGAGGAGGCTTACCAAATATTAGTAGTATTTGTGAGTAAATCTGTTTTCATGTTTATGGAAGTAAACTAATTACAAGAACTTGGAAGAAGAAATAAAAAGAAATGCATTTTTTATTGTTGTTCAAGTACAGTTGTCTCCATTTCCACCCCCTATGCCCCACCCACCCATCCCTGCCTCCTGCCTTTGATCCTACCCCTCCTTGACTTTGTGCATATGTCCTTTATACTTGTTCTTTATGGCCCTTTCCCTGTCATCTGCTATTATTCCTTTCCCTCCTCCTCTCTGGTTACTGTCAGGTTGTTTTTTTTTTTTTTTCAGTGTCTCTGTTTGTATTGCTTGCTTGTTTATTTTGTTGATTAGGTTCCACTTATAACTGAGATCATATGGTGTTTTTCTTTCACCACCTGGCTTATTTCACTTAGCATAATGCTCTCCACTTCCATCCATGCTGTCATGACAGGTAGGAGCTCCTTCTTTCTTTCTGCTGCGTAGTATTACATAGTTTAAATGTACCACAGTTTTTTGATTCAGTCATTAACTGATGGGCACTTAGGTTGCTTCCAGCACTTGGCTATTGTAAATTGTGCTGCTGTGAACATTGGGGTGTGTGGGTTCTTTTGAATTGGTGACAAATGGATTTTTTAAATTTTATTTTAATTGTTCAAGTAAAGTTTTCTGCCTTTTTCTCCCAATGACAAATGCATTTTTAAAAAGGGTATTTT